TGGAACCTCCTCAAGCATTGCAGGTTCACAGTTTAATCTGCATTAATCCCAAAATGAACACATACAGGAGGCAGAGATAATTGGGAATAACCTTCCCTGGCTCAGCACAGTGCGTACAGGAGGTAAATAATCCATACCATCCATAAAGGTGAAACAGAAAGCCCCACTGGTGCACAGGCCCCGCTCTTGGACCCATGTGAAGGACAGTGAGACCCTGACCGTCTCTCCTGCATCCCGCTCTCCAAAGAATTGTGGATTGCAACTGTACCTGGTCCTAGCTCAGCTCTGTGAGGTGAGGGAAGACTTCTTGTTCACCTCGTCCCGATCTGCAAGGAACGACCAACAACCCCGCCTCTACAACGAAACAAAAATACTTGTCCAAACGATTTTTACCTTCCCTCTTCAGCAGGGAATTGTATAGCTGTCACACCTAATTTTGTAGAAGTTCTTTTTGGCCACGAAGCTTGGAAGCCTTCTACCCTGGTCATCCACGAGGAAATCCAGCCAGCACTTACAGACACCTCCATGTGATGGGACACAGTAGGAATGGCAGCCCGATTCCCCTGCTCATCTCAGGCTATCACTAATTATTACTACAGCTCTTCAAGACTTTATTAAAGAAAACATGACTAAACTGCACTACTCCTCTGTAGGTTAATGTTTAATAAAATTACAACCTGTGTCTGTTTACCACAAAACCATCTCTCCTGTGTGAAAGTTTAGTGGGCCAGCAGTGAATAGTTTTCACATTGTGTTATTTTCCATGATTTCCATCTCAGTCATTGCAATGAGGAATTGGCTGTTGTTGTTCACATCGTCATTGATGCTTAGGTGGAGACTAGATGCCTTTTTTCTCTTTCAACCTATGGCTTTTCTGAAGGAATCGACTGTTAAAACATGACAGACATTTCTTTAATTGCTTTCTGAACAAATCTTAAGACATACAACAGGATAGAGGTCAAGATGAGATAATCTTTGGGTTTTACTGACTTTTCAGAATGTTATGATTAGATGAGACCTTGAGATATCTGTATGTTAGTTAATGGTTCTTCTGCTTTCATGTATAATGACCTATTTCTTATAGAAGAGCTAATATCTATAAATTTTTCATTTGCTGCCTAGAGATTTCAATAAAAACTAAGAGATTTGAATCCAGTGTGTGCTTCATATATCAAATTATTACTGCAAAGATTTTTTTCAGCTGCTTAGATATGGTCATATGCAGAGATTGTGCTGCCCCTATTTTACCTCTCTCTCTCAAAAAAAACCCCAGGTTCTGCTGGATGAGAAATACCGTTTAGTAGATAAAGGCTTCTTCGTTTTGTCATGTTTTTAGCTCTGCTCATTATTAGATTAATAACCCCAAAACCCGTAGCATTAAACATTAAAAAAAAAAATCCATCTTGTTGGAGATGTTTTTACACCAGGAGATAAGAGCCCGTGTGCATGTATTACATACGTCATCCCAGCTGTCAGAGGAGGTCTCTCATGGTTAAGTGATATAAGATTATGGACCAGAGGCCACTTGCTTCCCCTTAAGTAATAATAATAAATATGCTAATGCTTTTAGTGTCATTGTTAATTCCTTATTTGTGAACACTCAGAGACAGGCTGAAGTGCTGTGGTTTGAAGGCAGGATTTGAAGATGAGCTATTCCCAAGGAGAACAGGGAAGCCAAAATTGCATGCTTAAGGCACCGTCACTCGAATCCTTTTCCACCTGTAAGGACAATCGTCTGGGGCTTTAAGACAAACTTCTGTATAGGACAACTTTCTCTCACAAGCAGCAAGGACTAGATCTTCATTTAACTTCCTCCATGCTCACTTTAAATTTGCCTTCAGTTCCCATCTAAGGACTCATCCTTAAATGTTTTAGCAAAGATCTTTGGGACTACACACTGAATGTGCCATTCAAGGACAGATATCTGAAATCTGATGCAACAAATCTACACATGTTAAAGGGTAGTAATTCCAATCAAGTTATCAACTTACAATTCAATTTCAAACATGTTCATTTAAAATCTTTAGTTATCAAAAGAAACACATGCACATGTGTATATTTTTACTCCACCAAATTGCTAGGGCTGTTCATCACCATAGGAACCTATTGTAATACTCATATAAGAAATTTCATTCTTTCTTAATAGATTAGCCTTCTTGCTCTTTGTATTTGGATTTCAAAACAAAGCCATTTCAACTTGCAAGTGAACGAATGAAATGGATGACAAATTTGTGGCAAATGATGTTGCAAAACACATTTCAGTGTGACAATGCAGGTATATTTGGAACAGTTCAGGATGTAATACTGTATGTTAGGTTGGAAGACATCCTTGGATGATGCAAACTGTCTAAGCTGTCTGATGGAAACTGAAAAGTTGATAAATTCCTCACGAATTATCATGTGTCATGAGCACATGTGTTTTGCAAGATAGTAAGAAGCTTACTGAAAAGTTCATGAAGCTTAAGAAGAATGTGAAGTCATGTGATGCAAAGATATCCAGACAACACCCTGGTCAGAATATCAATATTTGAACTTCAAAAACTAGACTGGACCCGAAGGTCACTTCCAGGCTGTAAGACAAAGCAGTGCAAGAGAAGCAGGTCAAGTCCTGGGGCAGTAATCCCCTATGCCAACCCACACTGGAGCCCTGCGCGGGTGTAGCAGCTCGTGCAAGGCAGTCCCATTAGCCCCACTGGGTCTGTGGTAATTAATTTAACTTGCCCCTGTGTACCTTGGGGGTCCCCACAGTGTGCTCCCATCCACTGCTGCTCTAGGTTTAGTACAGATGGATTCCCCTTAAATGCAGAAGGTCTTACTAAAGGGCTTGGAGGGGTAATGAACTAATCAAAGAGAAACAATCCACTCTACATGATTAGTCTCTGGGACTGTACCACTGTTTCTACCACTTTTTTCAGTTGGAATCGACAACATTGTCTCAGATTGTGGTGAAGCACATTTTAACACCTTCCTGAGAGGAGAGAAGGGCAGGAAGGCTGCCTGGCTATGACACAGCTTTCCACCCTTTTGCTAAAACAAATCCCAAACTCAGCTAAGGTCCTGCAGTTGAAAACAAACTGCCTGATCCTTACACTTGTACAGACCCAAGGGACACAAAATACCAACGTATTCAACCCGGTGCTCAAGTTCTTACGTTTATCTCTGTTCTTCTGTAACGTGGGCTTTTCTGGGAAGTTCGAATAGATGCAACTACTGATGTCCAGATGCAGAGGTTCCTGACATCCTTCCACTGTTTTAAATAGGTTTTGGATCCAGGCCTATGTTTAGGCAAGTCTTTACCAAGGGAAAATTGTTAAAACCTAAGTCACAGATTTACAGCCATATTAATTATCTAGCTAAACAGCCACTACCATCTTACAGACCAGAGAACACTGCTTACCATGAGTTACCATAACTATGGTCCTAACTGCATTTTTATAATCTATAAAACCGGACATGCGGAAACTATGGAAGGAAATTTCAGTAATTAAAACATAGGTTCTCCTCATTAACTGCAAAGCATCATTAAAATCTAATGAAACTGTAGTGGAATAAAGTGGAATTATACAGGATTCTGGCTTAACTGCAAGGAAATAAATGCAAATGAAAGTTGAATTTTCACATGGTTTTCAGTTTAGACAACAGGACTGAATGCATTTATAGCAGTAAACAATATAAAAGCTCACTTCTAACACTCTATGAATCAGTACTGGCAAGTTAGGGTATTAGTGTATAAGAAGTTAACTTATTGAAGAACACGGCGTACTGAAACACAAGAATCAAAGAAATCAAACTCCTTGTTATTTAGAACAGTTGTATTTGTGATGGCAGGCTGAATTTCACAGTAGATCATCATGAAGATAACTGTTGTTGCATCAGCATGATGTAAGAATCAATTTTTCAGTGTAACAAGTTCATCTTGGCATAGCTGAACAAGCTGCACCATCATCCCATATTACACAATAGATTCAACTAAAGCAAGAACTTCAACGCTCTGCAAGCACTAGACATTTTAAGATGTTAATCTACTATGACACTTCCTTGCTCTTCCTCAGACAGTCGCCTTTTAAGTTCTTAGGAAGAAAATTCTCATGGAAACTGTAGCTTGAATGCCTAATTTAAACTGATGTGTCAGGTCCACAGAAGCTTCGCCGATCTCCACTGACCAAAACCCAGACCCAAAACTGTTATATTTTGCCTACATTGAATCATTGCAGGTGCAAATCCTCCCACCTGACTTCTCCTCTCTAAAATACCCAAGGCTAGACAGACTCACTGCACATATTATGGAGAAAGAGAGGCTGTGAGGACAATTCACTTAGTCTGTCCTGGCACAAGATGAGTCACTTTGCAGAGACAACGTCCTCCTTTCATCAGCTTTTGAAGAAACCTAAATGACCAGTCCTTTCTGAAGGCTAAAGTCCTGTAAGACTTCTACCCTGCATGGCTGCCAGCAGTGGCACGTTTTCTGTACCTCACTACAAAAGGCCTTAATTTCTAACCAAGAGATTTTAGCTCAAGGAGATCAATACCTACTGCCATTAAATCCTATACTAATTATGCTGATGGATATGCTGATGTCCTGGGCATCAGCAAAAGGTCCAAGCCAATCAAACTCATTTCACTGCAACTCACAGATGCCAATACTTTTCAGAATAATAGTAATGATGTAGGTTAGACACGAAATTACTTCTCGGACTAATCTGAAAACAAATTTCCTGTTGATTTCAATAGTTAAGTACATTAAAATTGTTTAGTATTTAGGCAAAGTAAGACTGGAAAGCAGAAAACATTTACCATAACGAAAAATAAAGGCATAAATGCAAGATGATCCTTTTTTAAAAACATCCAATTTTTTTATCCAAATGCAAACATAATAATGGAGTAGCATGCAGTTAAGAATTTGTTAGTAAGTTATATGCTGTTATACAGTCCTGTTTCTAAGAAAGTACACAATGGACAGCAACTCTTGCTATCTAAATTGTTACTTCATGTACTCATACCTTCTCCGTGTCAATCCCTTTAGACATGGACCAGGTTGAGACAATATAATCCATGACTCTTTCACTAAGGCCTTTTGGGACTTGATATAATTTTAGGAAATCCCTCACATTGTTCAGCATCTCATGGTACCGGTTGGTGTTGGCATACATTTGCTGGAAAATGGTGGTGACGTTTCCAAAAATAGTTGCATAAAGAAGAGCTGAAAAGAAAAAACGAAGACAATTAAAAATAAATATGTGTGCTCCAGTAAATGCTACTCATGAATCAAGGATAATATCAAAGAATTTTATGTATGGTTACAGTGTACTGCAAACACCTAGCTGTAAACTGAAAATGTATTTAGCAACACACACACTCACACACATATATGTACAAAGTTATTTACTGAATTTACTCATACAGCTCATACAGCCACCCAGTGTGCATTGATTTACAAAATCAGTCATACAGAGAATGTCCATACATGGAATTATTTTAAAATTCCCAGTGCACTTTAACTCTATACCCTATACTAATGCTAATTAGTTTTCAAATGTAGCTTAAGCCTGCCAGTAAATCTTGAAGGCACTATCCAAAAAATCACGTGGATCTCCTGTAACATCGTCTCAGCTAGCACATGCTGTTAGCAGAGAATGGCCTCAGTCCCAAAGAAAAGATGAAATGGAGAAGAAAGGAACCTAGGAAGCCTGTCAAGGAGATATCTATACAAATCGGGTCCTGCATCAATGGCCAAGATGTGCACAAGAAAGATTCAGAGTGACATTTCACAGTCCCATTTCACAGCCAGCCCTAGCAGATGATTTGGGTATGTCATGTCAACTCTAAATGCCAGTCATTAATAATTCCAAAGAGAGAAAACTTGGATTAGTGAATAACAGAAAGTCCCATTTCTGAGGGCCTAGGACTAGGGCAGGAGGAGGACAGGGTAGAGTAGGACACACTACCTCAAACTCACTGCTAGACTTTCCTTCTCTTCTGGTTTGATTCTCCCCTTTCTAGACCATTACTGTCAAGCTCAGATAGTTGTGCAACACCAAAGAGCGACATGACATAGTCAAGAAAATCATGTTTTGAGCAAGCTTTTCCAAAAGTTGCATAAACCTCAATATACTATTACAAGTGTGACACAGTGAATGCTATTTGTTGGAGAAGGGTTAATTTCTGAAGCCTAAATTCAGCAAAGCATTTAAGGAAAAAACTTAAATGCACACCTTTGCTAGTACTGTCTTGAATAGTGGTGGATTGAAAGACACTCTTAAAGTCAAGCAAGTTTAAGGTGCCTTATTGAATCACAATGTAACCACCCTTTCAAGCAAGCCCAAAATAACATTCTTACATTAGGCATTACAGATTTTGCTGAAAAGAGAATTATTCTGATCTCTCATTACATCAATGTGCAGCACTACATCTGCTCTTGACATTATCAAATACACAGAAAAGTGCCTGTCATTTTTAATAATCTTTGCTTGGAGGTACTTTATATCAGACTGCAGCTATGCATTTCCACATGGTTTGTTTGTTTTTTTTTTTTAAGAAAAACAACTACAGCCTACAAATGGCAAGAAATAACCCACTGTGAAAGGAAAAATGCTTTCCATCTCTCAGTAGTCTTCCCTTTACACAAGGCATTTCTACCTCATTCCAGAAAATTCACTTTGTTTCATATTAATCTACTATAGTTCATCACCTCAGTTTGAGAGGTGGCATTTTTAAAAAGAAACATGGTGCTCTCCTAAAACCTTTCCTTCTTAACAAGGAAAATTGTACTTTCATTTCTCATGATGCTTTTTCCTGCGTCCACATATAAATTACATGCTGAACTTCATCAGAAATCTTATGTTCATTACCTGGACCTGAGCAAAGCCTTT